CGCTCTTCCCCTTTCCAGACTGTGGCGCAGTCTTCCGCTTCTACCCAGAGCCCCGTTGGAGGGGAGGGGAGTGAACTGGGAGATATGTTACAGCTTCAAGTTGAAGAAGAGGAGGAGGAGGAGGAGGAGGAAGAAGATGATGAGGAGGACCAGGGGTCAACAGCACCCTCTCAGACTCCTCAGCCTCAGAGAGGGTCAGGGGGTTTTCCCTGCTCTCCTGCATCCCACGCCCTGCCCACATCCACTACTCCTTGCAGGCTTCCAGAGAGCGAGAGTGCTCCACCTGAGCCTCCTGCCCCTCATACTGTACTGCCTCCCAAAATCTTCTACATTAAGCAGGAACCCTTTGAGCCCAAGGAGGAGCTATCAGGAGGCGGAACTCAGTCTGGAGGAACAAAGGAGGAGACCAAAGTGTTTCCAGGAGGGAACACTGAAGAGAATGGAGAGCTAGGGTTCTTGCTGCCCTCAGGAGCAGGGCAGACATCTGGAGGAGGTGGTCCATCCTGGAAACCAGTGGATCTTCATGGGAATGAAATCCTGTCAGGGGGTGGGGGACCTGGGGGAGCAGGGCAAGCTGTGCATGGACCTGTGAAGCTAGGCGGGGCACCCCCTGCAGATGGAAAACGCTTTGGTTGTTTGTGTGGGAAGCGGTTTGCAGTGAAGCCAAAGCGTGACCGGCACATCATGCTGACCTTCAGCCTTCGGCCCTTTGGCTGTGGCATCTGTAACAAGCGCTTCAAGCTGAAGCACCATCTAACAGAGCATATGAAGACCCACGCTGGAGCCCTGCATGCCTGTCCTCACTGTGGCCGCCGGTTCCGAGTCCATGCCTGTTTCCTTCGCCACCGGGACCTGTGCAAGGGCCAGGGCTGGGCCACTGCTCACTGGACTTATAAGTGACTACTGAGGCCATACACGAATTTCCAGGACAAGGGAGCCAATGCTGCTGTTGGATACTTACCCCTCACTACCATGGCACCCCAATCCTGTATCTTGTTAATTATGCCAAGAGGATAGCTATATTATGGACCTCTTGTTTTTGGGTGTGGGCTTCAACCTGACCGATTTGGAAACTCTGATTTCTTATCTCACTCCAGGTTTTGGCTAACTACCCTACAGGAAAGTGGTTTACAGGCCATACGTAAATCGATCAGTTGCCCATAATAGATATTCTTTCCATACAGGAAACTGGAATTCAGATTAGAAGTTTATTTGATGAGAGAGGAGTTAACAAGAAAAATTATGATAAATATTTCATTCAGTCTCTGTGAGTAGTTAAGGGAGCTGGTCTCCATCTAGAGATATGTTTGATTCAGAGTTCTGGTAATCCGGAGACTAAGCTCTAAGTTTTACTCTCCCTCATCATTGCTGAAATTATGTGAGTAGAGGTCTTCTTATATACTTTTGTTAAAATTTTCCAGAAACCCTTCAGATTATAAATTGCTTTCTCACTAGTAGGTAATTTTGGAACACCTTTTTTGTTGTATGTTGTAGTTGAGCACTTTAACAGATTGCGCATTCCATGTGTCACTTAGACCCCTCTTTAATAGAGGATCTTAGTTCCTGGACCAGGGGTCTAACCTACGCCTCCTGCAGTGGAAGCACGGAGTCTTAACCACTGGACTGCCCAGGAAGTCCCTCTTGTCTACCTTTGACCACCACTGATCATCCATATTGATCACACTGACTGGAATGTGACCAGTGAACTCAGGAGATGGCCACTGACCTAAAATACTCTCAGGGTAGAATCACCGCTCTGAAGAAGTGGCTATGGTCAGAGGGACTCAGGGCTGAGATGACACATGCTGGAAACTAGAGAAACAACTGCACAGTGGGACCACACCCCCTCCCTTTCCATCCCTACCCACACTTGACAGCCCCTTGGTCGACACATAGAAGGATAGATGTTGGAATGGGGAGATTGTCATAAGTTTCTTAATTTCTTCAAATAAACTTTGCCGTGAAAGCTAAGCTGACAGTGGACTGAATTGAGTCATTTATATGGGAGAGACGATGTGAGAACAGAGTTGCAAAGACTTGGACATATTCCTTATGCGGCTGGGTTATGTTGATGGGGGAAGAATCGGATAGTCTCATACTGCTGCAGAGAACACTCTCCTGGATGTCAGTGGGCCAGATTCTCAGCCCTGACCTGCCCTTGAATAACTTCTGGTAAGTTGCCTTATTTTTCAGAGTCTGAACTGTTTTGTTTATTTTTTTATTAATTTTTTTTTTGGTGCTGTGGTATGTACCTCCTAACTGGTTCTCTGTCTTCTTTTTTTTAAGGGGTTGTTCACATTTTTACCTATAATATTCCCTGACTTCATGTATTATGTTTATTGTTTGGTTTGTTCTATATTTATTGCAAAGCACTGTACTAGACCCTGACTTATACTCTACCCTCAGAGAGTTCACAGCTACTACCAAAGCTAGACATAATGACAATGTGGTATGGTAAGTCCACGATGGGAGACAGTGCAAGCTACTGTAGTGGCACAAAGGAAGCTGAGTAAAGACCTATGATGGGTCACCAGAGGTTTCACAAAGAACTCCATTGCCAGAGTGTGGCAGTGGGTGTGGGCGGCTGAATTGATGTGGAAATGGTGAACATGAGTTGAAGTCACAACTATAGAGCCAGGAGTGACAGCCTTTGCCAAAGCACGTTCCTCAAAAGTTAATAGGTATGGAACCTAAAGGGGCTAAAAAACATGACTTTATGGCTGAGAAGGTGAGTTGTAGCTGGGATCTGTCAGCCTTTCTAAAGAGCCTTGCCATGATACCATCCCCACTATAAGGACTGTGACCACATTGGATAAGGGGTCAGGGATGGAGGCTGCCAACCTTGGATCTACTACCATCCCATCCACCTGTCATTCTTTTGGCACATGTTCTGTAGCTGACTATATCTGTTGGCCAGGATCCTTGGGTTTCAAGCGGTGGAAACTGGCTCTGACTAACCTTATCAACACAGGAATCTGAAGGATGTGGGGTGGCTCCTGGAATGGAAGGAAGGGCTAAAAGACCAGCCTTTGGAAGGACAAGACCTGGGTCAGCTCCCAGGGTTGAGGGAACAGGAACTGGGGAATTTTTCCAGTCATATGTTTTGGGATGATGACCCAGTTAATCTTATTTCTTCTGTCACTCATCTCAAGATAAAATTTCCAGGAGAGAACTCTGGGCCTCAGGGCCATCCTCTGACCAGAGCACCTTGATCATATGTTCCATTGAGGCGACAAATCCTGGAATCCTCAAGGGAAATTGAAGTTCTGGGACAGAAGAGTGGGGAATGGGTGCTGGGCAGCCCACAAGAACAGAGGCCCACCCATGCAATCTTCATATGTTGCCCATCTTGGGATCCTTAAAGCCTCAGGTATACCTGGCACTTAATAGGTGTCCAAACTTAGGGCAGAATTGCTTCCTCCCTCTTCTTAATCCCCCTAGCACTTTACTACTTCTGTAAAGCCAATTAAGACACCATGTTAGAAGTTTGGGTTTTCTTTCCAAATTATTAGGATTATAGGGAAATTGAGTTCCATGATGAAAGATTTCGGTTTAAACAAACGTGCACCTCTCTGCTTTTGTCCTTTCCTCCTTATAGTGGAAGAGATGTCCCTTCTACTGTCTAAGGCTAGCCCCCTTCACAGAGCCTTTGCTCTTTTAATTATCCTTTCTGTTCTATATCTTCACTCTCTGTCTCTGTAGTTTCTCATTAGCATTTATTATGTTCATAGGGTTGTGAGAATTAATACATGTAAAATGCTTAGAACAGTGCCTTGCACTCAGTAAACTCAATAAATGTCAACTGTTATTATGAGTGAGAACAGTAGTTCCCCACACCTTTACAGGGATCGGTTCTCTCAGGGAAGGGTCACATACATAAAGGGAAAATATTTTCAACTAAAAGGGAAATGAAGCATACAGCACTCAGTAAGGATTAGATGTTATTGTTTTAATTATTACCTTTCTCATAAATGCTAGAGTTTTTCAGGGCCCTTTCCCCCATCTTCTAACTTGATACACTCCTGGGTGATTTTTATCCACTCTTCTGAGTTAAAGCATGCATTTATTTATTTACTTACTTACTTACGGCTGTGTTGGGTCTTCGTTGCTGTGCACAGGCTTTCTCTAGTTGCGGTGCGCAGGCTTCTCACTGTGGTGGCTTCTCCTTGTTGCGGAGCACAGGCTCCAGGCACGCGGGCTGCAGTAGTTGTGGTATGCAGGCTCAGTAATTGTGGCTTGTGGGCTCTAGAGCGCAGGCTCAGTAGTTGTAGCACACAGGCTTAGTTTCTCCGCAGCATGTGGGATCTTCCCGGACCAGGGCTTGAACCCGTGTCTCCTGCATTGGCAGGTGGATTCTTAACCACTGCACCACCAGGGAAGTCCCCTGAGTTAAAAGCATTTAAATACTGATGACCCTTAGTTTTTTATCTCCAGTTTTCCTGACCCCCAGACCCACTTCGATTTCTTCCCTCTTTCCTGCCTTCCTTCAGCAATAAGTGTCTGCTGTGTACCAGGCACTGATGGAAAAAAGCAGAAGGTATCATAGGGATTGGGCCCTGGATTGTCACTTTAAGAGACAGATGTTTAAACCAGTTATGTAGGTATTTCATAGATATATCAAAAGGGAAAGGAAATAAAACAGGCAATAAGGTGGAGAGTAACAGAAAAGGAAGGCATACTGTACACATTTATCTAGTATCCAAAGGAAAAGAAAGACAGACATGCAAAACAGGGCAAGGAAAGTGGTTCTAGTAAAGTGTTCAGCAGATGTAAAGGCCAAGAAAGAGAAAGGGAGGTATATTTGATGAGACCAGTAGACCTGGAGAGGAATGAGATGTTGTCTTAGTCCATTCTGGCATCTGTAACAGAATACCACAAACCGGGTGTCTTATAAAGAATGGAAGTTTATTTCTCACAGTTCTGGAGGCTGGGAAGTCCAAGATCAAGCACCAGAAGATTCAGTGTGTCATGAAGACCTGCTGCCTGGCTCATAGACAGTCATCTTGCTGTATCCTCACATAGTGCAAAGAGAAAGGGAGCTCTCTGGAGTCTCTTTTATAAGGGCACTAATCCCATTCATGAGGTCCTCACCTTCCTGACCTAATCACCCCAAAGCCCCACCTCCTAGTAACATCACATTGGGGATTAGGATTTTAACATAGTTTTGAGGGACATAAACCTTCAGTTCATTGCAGATGTGATTGAAGAGGTGGGCTGGGCTATATAGAACCTTGCACATCGTGATGAGGAATGCGGGTTTTATTCTAACTGCAATGAGAAGACGATAAAGAGTTTAAAGTAGGGGAGTAATGATCTTTTCACATTTTAAAGAGATTCCTATAGCTATAGAGCAAATATTGGATCATTAAAGGGCAAGATTCTTGGAAGAAAAAAAAGCGGGGGGGTGCCAAGAGTGGGAGCAGGGAAACAAATTAGACTGTTTCATTAGTGCAGACAAGAGGTGAGTAAATGCAGCAGATATGCAGAGAAGGAGATGGATTAAAACTGTTATTATATTTTGAGGTAGGACTGACAGAACGTTTTAACAGATTAATATAGAGATTGTGGGAAAATAAAAAATCAGGGATGACTTCTAGAGTTTTGGCTTGAGCAGTTGAATTGGAGGCCAGTTAATGAGTGGGAGACAGGAATAGAACTTGGGAGTGGATCAAGGGCAGATGCATGTATTGACCAGGGTTCTTCTAGACCAGGGGTTGGCAAACTTATTCTATAAAGGATAAGATAGTAAATATTAGGCTTTGCATGCTAAGAAGCAAACTCAAGGATATTATGTAGGTACATAGAAATTAAGGAAAACAAATTTCCATGATTCCTTTGAATTTATTGACAAAATTCAAATTATAATAATTGAGCACAAATTTTTGTAGTACAGGTCTGTT